TCAACATATCTTGGAAACAGTAGCTCAAAACAACAAAACCACAGGAGGTCAACAGCATACACAAATTGAGTACACACTATGTGCAATTTTAATTTTACATTTTACACAATAGCCATAGAAATTAATAGGTAAATTTTGGTAGTATTCCATAAGTCCAAAATGCAATTATTACACTGTGATTTTAGGAACAGTTTGAACCACCAGTGGTAATAGTTATGAGTAGAACACCTCGTAGATTCTAGTCTTGTAGTAACACTTTAACAAAACTACAGACTCTGGATTTAGACCCATTTACTCTCAAATTTTGTTCTGCAGCTGAATGCCACTCAGCAGTGGTTCTGTTCCTATATGCTACATATGTTTATGAAGTGGTATCAAGTTTTGTCTATAGTGGTATAGGTATTTGGACAAATATTACAGTCACCAACAACAGCATTCAGATTCAGAGATACTTGGGTTTTACAACAGATGGACAAGACCCTAAAATGACAACAGAAGCAGAGCATAAAACCATGCAATAGACGATGAATCCGATAGAGACTCTGAAAACCTCTGGAGCCCCATACTCAATCCACATCCTAACAGACTGGAAATACACTTTTCAATATCACTGATGCTATTCAACTGCTAGGGCCAAGCTAAAATGAATTATGTTTCATTTTATCCTTAAAGAAGGAAACTTTCTCTTTGAATAAAAAACATCTAACAGCATCTGTGAACATTTTTAAAAAATTCATTATTTAAATGTGGTTTTAGTTAAAAAGGTAACAATCTCTCAGAAGGTAATAGTGGAATAAACCTTCTTTAATACAGGATTCTAAATGAATACTTCAAATCCAAATGATAATTTTCCACTAGGTAAATGCAATTGTACAGTTCCTTCTGGTTTTCAGTAATGTATCACTTACTACTTCTCATGGGGGTGGGGAAAAACCCAAAGAAATAACCATCATGTTTTGCTATTAATCAGCAGAAGTTGGGAAACTTCAAGGTGCTTGCCTTATCTGTCTGGCCATACAAACGAAAATTGGTTAAGCCTAGTCAGCTCGCTGAAGCCAAAGGCACATGCCAGCCTTATGAACTGCTGCGATAACTGAAGATGTCCCTGATCATTTTCTAGAGGTCAAATTCTCAGTTTCCAGGTCAAAATTCAGGTTAGTTTAAATAGTGAGGCAGGTAGTTTGAAAGGAAAGGGATTACATTTGTCTAATATAAGCTAGGCAGTAGTTCATAAACGCAGAATTCCAGCTTCAAGTATTAGCTGATGAACAGCAAACAAGGCGAAAAAAATCGTAATGATATGTACTTTTCAATAGCCTGAATATCACCAGAATTGTGAATATGGATGTCTTTGAGAATAAAATATGTTATAGCAACTGTTAGGTAAGAATAACCCCATGTTCACTCAAAAAGCCAAGAATATGAACATTATTATTTCATTTTTTTATTAACAACGAGTACTATCTAATATTTGATGAATGAAAACAAGTTTCTAAAAAAAATATCATGTATACAATATACTTTGCTCGGTTAAGAACCAGTAAGTAATGTTTCAGAAACCACTAGTTAATACTGCTCTTAAAGGGAAGGAAAAATGAAAATAAAATATCTGACGTGCAAATTTAATACAAAAATATCTGCCTCATAGCATCAGTCTTGAACATAAAGGAAGAAATCATGCTGACTGCTAACCAGAGTTATTTTAATAATTTTTATATAAAATTATTTTATTTCTGCATAAAAGCCTGGAGTCTAGTTCATTTTTTTAAAGGATATTTATTTTCATTCTCCTTAATTAAAAAGATGAAAAAAATCAAAAAATAATCAAAAATCCAGCCTTCTTTCAAGGAAAGAAACCCAAACTTAACATACCTCAGATGTCTTGTCATTAATGCCAACCAAAGCCTACCACAATCTCTGCCAGGAAAGTCTATGTTAGCTAAAATTTCCTGTTTTCACATGCATATAGGTATTTTGCTTTACCTGACCACAAAAGTAGAATAGTATTTCTTCCAAATGTGAGAGCTGTCGGTCCTTGAAGGAAAAAAAATGGGACAACAGGGATCAACTGCCTGGTGCTGACATTTTCCTACCTTATATTTTGCCTTTTTTTTTTTTTAGTGTAATAATATTTCTAGAGGAGAGGTTAAGTTCTATAGATTTTTCCACATTATTTTATCAGAAGTATACTATATATATCTATCTGTGATTCTGTGATATATATATATATATATATATTTTGTTTTTTTTTTCCAACAGTACTTTCCCTGCCCATACAATAGATAACTAGGGTGACTGAGCATTGGAACGGGTTGCCTGGAAAGGTTTTGGAGTCTCCCTCCTGGGACACATATACAAAAGCTGTCTGGACGTGATCCTAAGCAACTGGCTCCAGTTTGATCTGCTTGAGCATGAGGGGAATGTTGAGCCATATGACCTTCCAAGGTCCTTTCCACCCTCAACCATTCTCCGATTCTGTGAATTCGCAGCCTTTCACACAGACCATGAAATACAAGAACTCATTGACAAATCAAGTTTATCACCACCAATATCCTCCAAGCTGAAAATACAAACATCTTCAGCAGCTAACATATCAAACATCACAAAACCCCACTGTCTACCCCACACTCCAATTTCACAAACAAGGAACTGAGACTACGTCAGTTCATGGTAGTAGACTGGAGTGCAAAAAGGAAATAAAACCATCTCCCCCAGTCTCCAGGCTTTCACTCTTAACCACTGGAATGAAAAACACAGAACTGTTCCAACCACCAAGGAGACAATACAGTATGTTTTGCAACTTTTATTCTATCTGCATAGCTGAATTCACAATTCAGACAAAAATAGGAACATTTTCAAAATCAAATGTACAAGTTATTGGCCTCACTGAAATATCTGCTTTGTAAGTGCTACACATCAAGGAGTAGGATGATTATCTTGCACGTGGTCACTCTGATTTAGGATCAAAGCCCAGTTATGAATTACTGTTTGTCTCCAGAAGTCAGGGATGTGAGTTGCCTTCAGAAACTCCTCATTCCTTGCCAGTCTCAAGTTCAGTTTATGAAAACTTTCCTAGTGTTTTTGAGCATATTTTCCAATTTTCACACTAGGTCACTTTAAAGAGCAGTAACATTTTTCAAATATTTAATTATGATACTATTCATTTTTTCAAAACTAATTTCTTTTAAAAGAACTTTTGGTTCATCCTTTAATTACATTATGCATTTTTACTAATTGACCACATATACAGGTACTTACTGTGTGATGATTTCAGTAGAAAAATCAATATTGCTATAAAACCTGTTCAAATGTTAGCATTTTGCTAGGAATCATACACCTGCAAACCTAAATCCATCTTTCTTTGTAAGGCAACTACAGAATTTGGAGGCACCTACATTAAGTTTCCAGATCAGCACAAAAAACAAGCATAGTTATGCCTCAGCCTTTTCTAGCAACTTAAAGGGGACTTAAAATAGTTCAGAATGTGAGTAACAGCAACAGCATTTGTCAGATAACGGATGCATATGCAATAAAACAATGACAAAAAATTTTAGGGCAAATAAGATCCGATTCTCTGCAAATGCTTTGTACCTCCACGTACTCTGAACTCAGAAGACGAAGCACTTGCAGATTTCTTCCTAAAACACTAGAAGATAAATTGACTTGCTGTCATAACTTTGCTCTCTGTACTCACTCTTCTGCCTATTGAATCTCACATGCTACCACTGAAGTGTTGTTGAATGTTACAAGTGCTTTCAACAGCCAAGAAGCATTCCTACTTCAAAGATTATTATGTATGTTTGTCCTTCTCATATCAACTGGTCCCCCAGATCTGCTCTTGAGCATTCATTCTTTCACTTAAAATTGTCTCAGAAGTGTTACGCAGCCTTCTGCTTATCCTACTCAATGAATCACATATAACAATGAATTTAAACCTTACTTTCCCCATTAAATTATCCATTACTTCCTCCTTTCCTATCTAATGCTCATTGAAGAATCCATCCTATGTCATTGAAAGTTGGGTTTCATTTCCAGGCATGTTGCCCATCTGTGACACTATCAGTGATGCATACAATTCACCATTTTTTTCTGTGTATCAGTACATTAATTCAGGTAACATGCACACCAAAGCTCCATTGTCTCCAGCCTCACTTACTGCAGTGTACTTACTGCTACCTTACCTTAACAGCTGAAACACCATCCAGCTACAGCCTTTCACTGTGTTACAACAAACACCATTTACCTAATTCACTGCTCACCTCCTATCTTCTCTGCTCTTCTTCACCAGTTCTTCATCTGACTTCATCAAAAAACTGTCCTTAATCTCATTCTGAAAGCCTTTCGTGGTCTCTTTCCTCAGTCTATCATCTCTCACTCTACAATAAATTATTAATTCTTGCCTCCTTCATGCTCCCAACACCTCTATCAAACTTTCAGGCAAGTATCTTTCACACTCCCATGATCTGGAAGCTTACAACTGGAAAAAGTACCTCAAGAAATCAGCCATACAGACCATTTTTAGAAATCAACCCCTTAAATCCTTTTCACTATAAAACCCATAACAGAAGTTAACAGTTCCTGTCCTAATAGTGCCCAACACAGTGAAAATCATGCTCAGTGATATAGTCCTTCTCCTTACCATAGTTTGCCAGTTTACATCAAACGTGTCTGCCATTCCTAATTTTTGCTTCAATCCTGTGGAGCTGGATTAGCTTTATTTATGCAATTTAATCTCTGAATAAGGAGATAATTCAGACTTCTGAGCACTATAACAATCCTTCCTGTAGAACCCAAATTTCAGCATGATCCTGCATTCACATATCTACTCGCCCTTGTTTACTCTTACTCTCTCACAGCATGCACTGTTCCATGTACTGTTCTATTATACATAACTGCTTCATGAATCTCCTAGACATTTGATAGAGGATATTTTATATTTGATAGAGGAATATAAAATATTTTGATATGATCACATGTTCTGACACCATTCAAGCACCTACCTTAGTAAAATTATTCAAGTGACCTAGTTTCCTCATATTTGAGACGCCTTGCAATTTGGCCACATTTTGGAGAATCTCTCTCATATTATCACAGGGTTCTGCAAAAGAAAACAGGTTATTAGTAGACAATTACAAGAATCAGAAGTCTAAACATACACTCAACATGCAGTTTCCAAAACAAAGTGCTATTTTGCTAATCTCACTTAGTTTGCAGATCACCTTCCTTCAAGACACACCAACTGGCTTTATGTCTAGAATGCAAGCTAGGTATACCTGAGTTCCCTAAAATAAGTGCTAAAGTCCATGGAGGATAGAGACTCCTACTTCAAAAGACATTTTAATCAAATATCTTAGATTTACAGTTGACAAAGATATCCATTTAGTGACTTGAACTCCAGTCCTTAGGTGAACAGACTTACCTTTAATCCCCGTGTATTTTAAAGACAAATAGTGAACTTAAAGACAGAAGTAAAAAGACTGCAGTTTACTACTATACCATATGACCTTGTCCTCTACAAATAAAGGGTCAGTAGGATTTTGGGAAGACAGGACTGTCTTCTGGTCTCCATACGAATTTCTGTCCACAAACACTGTAAACTTACTAGAGGTCTGGGAGTTTCAAGAAATATGTGAAGAAGAATACTAGGTAAGCACAGTGACTGGGCACTTTTTCTCCGAACTTTCTTCCCAAGGGCCCTAATATGGAAGAACACCCAAGTATGAAAGAACATCCTAATATTACCATGCAGGATATCTTAATATGAGAGAATATTTGTATATTTTTCATTATCTAAACGAAACCCAAAGCAGAGATCAAAAAAAAAAAAAAAAACAGCTTCTCATCACTTGTCTATGCAGCAAATCAAGTTTATTACTAGTTTCTCTAGTTAAAAAACTTAAAAGAGCAAAAAATTGAAGATTATGGGTATGAATATCCCTGGATCACAACACTTTTGAACCTGTAACGTATCCCCATTTATACCAAAAGACCCAAAAGACCCACCAGATGTAAGCCTTCTCAGAATGTTCAACCTCTATTCTCTGAAGAGCAAGCATCAACAATAGCTTCAAAAAAATAAATAGAAATATTCTTGTAAAATTTAATTTTGAACATGTGGATAGTTACACACAAAAGTTAAACCTCTACTGAAACTAACCTCACTATACAGACAGGAAAGACATGAGATCAGCCAGACAATCTCTGGCATATTATTGGCAAAGAACATTTCTATTTGGTTGCCTGATGCTGTGGGTGTAACTTGGAATCAAGCAGCATGTTCTCCGCAGCAAGGCAGCCAATCTGGATATGAAGAAACCGGAACACGATGACGCTACCACATCCCATGTCCCATTTCAATACCTCTGCAGCTATGACATACATTTATAATGAGGCTGCATAATTAAAACGTGCACCAAAACCATTTTATTCTACGTGTGTATGCAAAGTCAGAGCAGATTTTCTAATATTGTCCTCTTTCTGCACGGAAAAACCCTCATTCCCAGAGACACAAAAGTTTGCTGAAAACCAACTTTGTAGCATTTAGCAGAGCAGCCAGCATTTTCCAGTTTTACTAGGAAATAAGTAGTATGACGCAACAGATCTAGAACACAACAAAAACACATTTCTACTACTAAATTAAACTGATAATATTGATCATATTATTTTCTTCATAGTTTGATGGTATCAACAGTCCTAGCATTGTAGGAAAAAGAACATACAAACAAAAAAGACAGGAAAGAAATACCCTCTCACAGCTTAAGACCTCAGAAAGAACTAAAATTATGGAAGCCTTTAGAACTAAAATTATGGAAGCCTTTTCAGTCAAGCATGTCAGTTTAAGTCTTGGTTTTAATGTGTGAAGAGATTTTTTTTCCAGAACGTTCTAACAAAAAGAATTGTGATATTTTAAGTTCTAGGAAGGCCTATGCCATTTTCCCTCTTCTGGAAGTGTAACATATATTAGAAAAACCACAGACATTTTATTCAGATACTCTAACATAATTCATTTCTATTAAAAATAAAGCCATCCCAGAAGATAGGCAAGCCTAACAGAACTGCATGAGTTGCAGATGTAAAAGAATTTAAACAAAACAATGTGACTTCACAGATGTAGACAGAGTCTCTTGCTATTATATACTTCCCATTAAAATGTCTTAAAAATAGAACAAATACATTCTGCATTCTCCCAAGTAATCAACACGGCTTTCTTTTAATCAAAGACCAGAGCCAGGACTGCTCATCTTCCTGCCACAAAGTCTCATTCAACTGCACTGAAAAACACAGATCAGCCCAGAAATAAAATAAAAAAATAAAAAATATGGCACGCAATCCGAAACTGATCTCCTCAAAGAAGAAATATTATGTCCCTAACTTTTCATTGTCAAGCCTAACAGGACATGTTAGTGTTGATAAGGACAAACTTTTTTTTTGATGACCCCAGGTCAGACTAAAGCCATAGAGATTTCTTAGCTCTGATTAACGAGCCCTTATTCTTTACTCCTTCAGTCGCTCTTGCTTTTCTATCTGAAAAAGATAAAGAGAAGCTACTCATCATAACTTTAAGACCCTTGCAAGAATCTATTATTTCCTGACTTACCTCATTTATCACTGAGATGCTGACTCATTGTGAGTTGGCCCACAACAGCAACAAAATATCTTCACATTCTTTCCCATGGTGCTTCTGAGGGTGGAGTTGTGCAAAACGATGGAGCTGATCTTAGCGCCTTCCTCTGCTGAAAGATGCACAACCCCTTCCCTTCCTTTCTTTCCCTCTACCCTTTACACTACTCTGTCTCTACATCAACTTCACATTAAAATGCTTCTGCATACCAATTCTGCAGAATGCTTTTTGTTCTTTTGGTTGTGTTAGTTTTCTGCTGGGTTACTGAATCAAATTGAATCCTAAAGACAAACAAGCACCTGTGCACAAGCATCTTTGCCATCGAGACATTCATAAGCAGACTGGTGGAATCAGGACGCTCTTATCTAATGAATCTCTTCAGCTAAAAAGTCAGACTTTTTTTCCACCTGCCCTTCTACACCTGTCCTGATTAATGCATACAAAGCCACAGTCTCATGTAGCATCTAAAAACCTGTGGATGCATACAAAACTTCCAAGCTGGACCACTTGTGATCTGCAACAACAGCTTAGCTTGCTGATCATTACCGTCTTATTTTCTACGTGTTTTCCTTTTTGGACAGCAAGCACTTTGAGGGAGTGAAATAGTTCTTTGTATTTCTATTTCACGAAACACAGTTCTTCATCCACAGCTGTTTGCACCAAGTAACATCCAGTACATACAGTGATCATCTTCAGCATATAGTGATATTTATGTTTTTAAACCCTAGCCTCAAGAATTCAGTCATCTGTGTACCTTAAAGTAATCCATACATGCATATATATTTAAAATATCTTCAAAGTTGTTTTTGTTTGCTTCTAAACTCTCATGACCTTTTAGGGCTTGACTCATTTTTACACCCCTTCAGGACCATGACATTGTTTTTCCCCAGTGAAAATCATGATGTGTTCTGACAGATCCCATTCTCCAGAGAGAAAGCAATATCACCACAGAGCTCCCACTACACAAAACAAACAGTGTTCCATCTAATGCAGGGATGAAACAGGACCAGCAATAGCTGTATTAGCATGAGTGACGACTCCTTTCCCCCCTACCATCCTGGCAGATATAGCAGCATTGTTGACCACATTCGCAAGGCTAGCAGCATGCCAATTCCCTGTCCTGTTACGTACATGTTAAGAACAAGCAAACAAGAACAGCGGGCTTCAGCACACAAATAATTCAGGAACTCTGAAGTCTGGCATAACAAGTTAAACTGAGGAGCATACATTTTATATGCATCACTACTGAGATGCTAGGCCAGTAGCTGAACACAGCAACTAACACACATACAGTAAACAAACTCACAAGTGAGAGACTGAGCTAGTAGCTGCTTATCACACGTACTAGAGTCACAGTGCCAAAGAGTGAGATAGGAGACTAAATTTGGCTAAAGACTTCTCTTAGAGGAGGAAGTTGTACTTCACTAAGTTAAGCATTTAATAATTGACTAAGAACAATGACACAAGAGAGATCTTCCTCTTACTGAAGGGAAGAATCACAGTATAAATGGATGACCTTGGTTAACTTACACCTCTGTTTAATAAAAAAAATCAAGATAAAAAAAACTTCAAGTCTAACCACTACACAACTGTACATTTCAAGGTTGCTTTCTATGGCTTGTTAAACTACATGCTGCAAGAATGAAGGAAACAACTAGGAACACAAATGCAATGTTCTCCTTTTCTGCTGAAACAGTCATGAGTTATCCATTAGTGAAAGCTGTTAAAATCTGTTACTTAAAGGTGCCATGCAAGCTCAGATGACAGGTAATCAGTCTGCTAAAATACTTTTTATCAACATCTGAAAGAATGAAGAGAAACACCAGTGAAAAATGCATAACCTTCCATTATGAATTTGCTGAAAAAATCAGGACAATTATGTAATCTCTCATAACATGAAGTATTTTTAATTTACATCTAATTCAAGATGTGGAAACTGCACAGAAGAAAAACAACCAAGTTCTGAGAACAATGGAAGAAAAGACAGCTACATAAGAACGAAAACTGCATGCAGAGATCGCTTCTGAATTAGTGATATGAACACAGCAAAGACCAACCTCTGCCAGACTCAAAAAAAAACAATTCGCATTCAGCCGATGATTCTCAAAAACACAGTAGTATACATTATCTAAATTATTTAAAACATTAATGTTTTCACCTGTGTAATTCTCTGTAATGTAGAGATAGCAGTAACTAAACAAATTTGCGAAAAACTATGTTGAAAAATGTAAGAGTTTTAACGCTAATTATAGAGGGTTTCTATTACTACCCTTGAATCGGTAAGGTACAATATGTGCAATATGCTTTTCACTGGTACAGCTTGATGTGTAAGTTTTACATACAATGTTTGATAAAAATCTGGAAAAAGAGAATGTATTACAAGTTTAACAACTTCAAACATCCCCTTGAAAAATAGAGATGACCAAAACCAGTGATTCCAGAAGAATGTAGGCAGCAATCTGTTGTTTCCTATACCT